CTGGTATTTCCGCTGTATCCGGAGGCCTCATAACACCACTATTATTATAAACGCCGTCCTCAAATTGTTTACATGCTTCAAACTTCTTCAAATAGATGAATCATTTAAACGAGAAAATTCCCAAAGATCGACAGATCCTAATTATTCAATATCGCGACCAATCAAAATCCTGATTTCTTTGGTTTCTCATTTAACCGTAGTCCGGATGTTGAGGTACAGTCGCGTATCGAATACTCTTTCTATTTCACGCATATTCTTTCTACTTCCTACAGTTCTTATGTAGCGGGCCAGATAGTTGCCTCGTTTTGTGTTTTAGGTTTCAAGCCGCCGCACTCCTCGAAAGACGACTGAAGAGAAAAATTTACAAGCCGAACTGTCTTCAGAAGTAGCCTGATTTCAGTCGGGAGCCTTTTGACCTTACCTTATGATAAGTTTAAAACGTCGTAGTCCACGGTCAAGCTGATGCTCCTCATGAAGTGGCTTCTGAGGACTACTAACTAAATAAAACCAACTATATTACTCAATAGCCACTTCATCGTTACCATTATTGTGCCTATCATTGCTGTATTTCAGGTGTAACGTCTTTTTAACGCTCTGCGTCATCTGGACCTCTCAAGTGGCGTTGATTTCTGCAAGTCTCTAAAGTAAACATCGGCCTGAACTTCATCTTTAGCCGTTTCAATCATCCATGAAACGTACGGCCCGCTGGCAGAGACCTTGAAGGATTTATATGCAAGTTCTTCCCGCTACACTTGCTCCATAGTAATGAGATATGAAAACCTACCAAAACGTAGTGATGAATACCAATGAATGTTATTCACGTTATTCTCGCTACTGGACTAAACGTGGCACTACCGCCGTGTTCGACTCTCCAGACTACACGCAACCGTGTTAGACGATCAGAATAATTTACAATGACCGTAAATTCAAATTTACCACATCACGTAGGATAACTTTATGAAAGATTACCAGCAACCAAGAATGTTTAGTCAATAATACTTCGTCAATTTATGCAAAGCATATGCAAGTCTATAGAGCTTTTGTTCCAATGCTTTCTAAGTACCGCCTCCTACCAAAAAACATATTATGGTGGATAAGATCGCAGGACCATTTATGGACATTAGTTTCCATTAATCCCTCACGAAAAAAGCAAATAATAACATTAGAACCTAAACAAAGACGTCTAATACTCGTTGAATTCACGCCGTTCAACTCAAAATAAATCTTTTGATCGCATTCGCGTTATAGAGCGTCGCAATATTGGCGCTATAGCGCAACTGTTTTAAAAATTCCAACAGTATCTATAGGTCAACAATCAAAAAGTTATAAATAGCTTTAGAATCCTTTAATATACCAATAAATGTAGTGAACTCTTGAAAAGTTGACCATAAATTCCCTCTATATGAAACTTAATGACGTTGTTGTCCGTTTTGTAACAATTTTGAATAAGATTCAGAGCTACCCAAATCCGCACGGAATCTCTTGACTAAAAAATAACCAAGCAGCAGGCCGGATCAAAGCTGTGAGTTGACAAGACCAGTACCAGCCATCGTACTGGGAGAGTGAATAAGATTCGTACCAATATTTTAGAAAGTTGGTCAGTAAAATTACAAATAAAATCATTTAGCGCGAGCTCAAACTACACATTGCTCAAACGAAGCAAACTACAGGTTAAGAAACAAAACAAGACAAAATTACGATCATCCAGGATATTGCAAATAAATATCATATATGATTGTGCCAAGGTTTAATTAACTAACCTGCTGTGAAGATAGGCCAGAAGAAGAGAATAAGTAGTTATTTAATCGTTGCGTAACTTCCTACGCAAGGTCACCTACTTCGAGGAAGGATCTCAGTTGTGTCTGTCAATCTCGACAACGGAAAAGGGAAATATTTTCTTCTGCAAATAGTATTAAAATGCTCCAAATTCAGCATTAATTCATAAGCGAGAGCTGCCCACCGCTCTGGCAATGCGTTATTATTATTATTTCCTCATTTCGTTATTTATAAGCCAGTATAAATTATTAAAGCTCCATTTTTAATTTTATTTCTGGGTTCAACTTGTCTTTTTTTAATTTAAACAATTTCTTGATCATGTTTAAAGGCGAGAATGCGTGTAAGAACAACGCACAGGCATTCTTAATAACCCGTACATCGATCAAGCCTGTTGAATGTATTCACCCAAATTGCATCATTGAGCGTTCCTTGAACAGCTTGTTGTAAGGAATTCATGCAAACATAACGGCTAACAATTTTATTGGAACTCCAGCGAACAAAACTTCGGATTCAGCAAAAAACAACACCGGAAGTGCAGTGGATGCAGTTGAGGTAAACTGAAATTAGGAAAATAAACCTTACTAAATGAATGCCAGAGATTGAGAAATGATTATACCAATTATGCTCAGTAATTCCAATTTAGCGGTACAAAACTTGACAGTGAACGCATTACCCAGTCTAACCTCAAATGAAAACGTGTACAGCAGAAATAACGTCGCGCTGGCTAGCTGCACCTGAGGCATGAAGCACACGGCAAAAGAGATGCGACGAGAATACCGGAGGTTATACTGTAAATTAACAGTTACGAACCAAGATTAGACAGATCAACAAGCGCTATTGTATCGGATTCAATTATTCATTATGAGGATCAAGATATATGGATCAATTTACACAAAGTAAGATTAAATATTTCGGAACTAACCTTCTCATTTATTACCGCTGGGGTCAATTCAGAAGTGGCTTGAAAGCCGGTTAGAGGTACCAAGGTGTTTGACAGTGCAATTGAGTGCAATAGCTAGTAAATTAATGAAAGGTCGACCCAACTTGGCTAAGTTAATAGGGTTAAAGTGCCACAGGGCGTAAAGTTAAAGGCTCGAAAACCGGCAATACTGCCAAGTATAATTAATGCGTCCGAGACGTCTCTTAAAGGGTTGGGTCAGACCAAAATAGTAACGTGACATGCATTAACTTGAAAAAGGTCTCAAAACATGCATTAAAGCAAAAAGATAATAGGAAATTAATTGCATTCTGGCCACTGTGAGCAATACAGCAGCCCTGTATTGCCCCCCGATAGCAGGTTTCCAATTTTCATTTATCTTTACCACTATCTACGAGATAAGAAAAAGTGGAGGCCTGGCGAGCAGTCCGACTTACTTTAACCTGACTTGACGAGGAAGTTGAGGGCTGCTGCAGGGAACGCTCAAAAAAGGAGATTCCTTTATTACACGGTTGCGAGTGGTGGTGCTGGGCCTCTCAGCCAGAATTCAATTATTCACATATACTCTGAAGCTATCTTTCTTCGGTCATCGCATCATCAAGTATTTCTACCATTCTTCCTTGAAATCTGGTTCTCTATTCCTTAGTTTGAGTGAATGCCGTGTCCTTTTCGTTATGTTTTGTTCGCAATATCTATGCTTATGTTGCCCCTGAAGGAAGTTGGACATAGTTTAGATCACTTAGTACCTTGTTAGTTTAAATACCTATGTATCATAAATAAATTCTATCAAAATCTATATCAAATTCAAATCTTTATCAAATTATAATCAATTCTAAATCAAATTATTTTTAAATCTAAATCAAAGTATTTTTAACTCTAAATCTATATCAAAGTATATTCAAAGTTTATCGAATTATATTAAAGAGTATGATTTATCTTCCATTCAGAAATGGGTTTAGTGCAATCCTCTTAAGCAGTTGATACAACTGTGGTTCATTGTGCAATCCTAATTTAAGTCTTTCTTCTTCTTTCGAGCAAAGTTAAGAAAATAAATTTTGGCTCGCCCCAAAAAACGTGTGTCGGGCAGATTTATGATTAAAGCGAAAAGCACACAACACACGAATTTTGGAAATTTGATGTTGAACGTACAGCCCGACCCACGTTTTTTGGGGGGAGCCAAAATTTATTTCCTACTTTTTAGTCTACAAGAAAAACGTGTATTTAAAAAAAATATTTTTAAGTATTTTATTTTAGTTTATAGCCGTGACCCCCTGGTGTTGGTTCATGTTTCAAACTCTAGGAATCCTTCTGGGACCTTATATAATAATAATAACATAGTTATAGCGGTTTCAGCGTTTAGTAGGCCGTAGGCCTGTCGCCGATTCTTAACATGTCAAAACATTCACAGCTTGTTGCGGTCTCAGTCTCGCAACTCACTGCTCCAATTCTGCACTGCTTAACCGCCCTGCCTGCTTGTTGATTCTTACCAGAAACTGGAGCACAGAGCTGGGATCGAACCCGCGCCTCTCTGCACGAATCTTGGTACTCTGAACTGTAACCACTGGGCCACCTTGTACAATACTTTGTACTATAAACCGTGGGTATACTTGCCCTAACAAAATTTAGAGCCGAGCGCGGCTCTGGAATGATGCATTTATACTTATATTTTACTTTGAATGGTGGATTTTTACTTTTATTTTACTTTCAATTGTGGATTTTTCTTTTATTTTACTTTCAATGGCGGATTTTACTTATATTTTACTTTCAATTGTGGATTTCTACTTTTATTTTACTTTGAGTGGCGGATTTTTACTTTTATTCAACTCTGATTTTTGGATTTTTAATTTTATTTTACTCTGAATTGCGGATTTTAATCCTCCATGAAGAGATTAAAATAGAATTCACGGCCTCTTCGGCGATGTTTTATTTTTGACCAACTGAAATGGTTATGAAAGTTTAGATTATATTCTGAGAGATTTGAGATTTTATCGTACAGATTTTTTGCAACTTAAATTCCCCGTCTTGAAAGTTTCTTTATTTATGTTAAAAATATAGAAAGCGAGTTCAGTGAAACAAGTCAGTTCTTGTGCGATATGCCAAACAAAATGTCTTCATAACTAAAATTCATTTATTTAAATTCAGATAATCTTGCATTAAATTTTAATTCTTGCACCGAAAGAAGAAACAAGTAACAAGTCATGCTCACATTCAGAAGAATTTATTCAGACCAGGAATTCTTAACAGGTATTACCATCATTGAATAGCTTTTTTTATAGCTTTTATTTGGAAGTCTAAAGTAGATGTTTCTTGTATAACGATCATTTTGAAACTTCTTACACACATAAAATCTGCAAGAAATTTCTTATAAAATTGGAAGTCTAAAGTAGATGTTTCCGGTAAATTTCTGAAAAATGTTATGAACAATTGAAGGCGGCCACCATCGTGGCCTGGAACTGCTACGTCCGAAACAAATGCTAAGGATACTAAGGATACTAATTAGGATATTGAGGATGCTAAGGATACAAATACTTGGAGTACTAAGAAATCAGCAATTATCACGTAACAATTTTACCTTCCGAAAGTGTTCATAATTTTGTGGCCAATTAAAATGTTAAGAAAGCTTCCAGACTCTGACGTAGTCAACCTGCAGCGCCGCAGTCTCGCTGATCCTGGACTCTCCGTTCTGCCACGTCGGCAGCCAAGCGTCTTTCTGCAACACGTTGTGTGGTCAAAAATATCAAATATGATAGAATATAATAGAAGTGTCGGCACTGAAGAAATAGGCCCATGGCCTGATGCCAATTCTTGAATTTTTCGTGACTTGATTCACAAGGAATCCGGCCTTTGGAACCCGATCTTTCCATAACTGACGATTGATTGAGATAGCTGCTGGACTTATTGCCTAGTCAGTAAGTTGCTAGGCATTTCAAGACTGAACATATGCTCCTGCATAGCTTCGTCTAGTCCCTTAGGTGATTCAGAATTATATCATCATTAAGAATTTTAAATGAGAGCAGGATGCGTAACTTATCACGCATCGTTGACGCTCCGAGTATGAACGCCTTCAAGAACAGACTAGACGAAGCTATGCAGGAGCATATTTTCAGTCTTAAAATGCCTAGTAAATTACGGACCAGGCAATAAGTCCAGCAGCTATCTCAATCAATCGTCAGTTGTGGAAAGATCGGGTTCTAAAGACCGGATCCCTTATCAATCAAGTCACGAAAAGTACAAGAATCGGCAGCAGGCCATGGGCCTATTTCTTCAGTGCCGACACTTCTATTCTATTCTTATAGACAGTAAATGATTGAAAAACATCTTTAAACGATCTCGATGAACATTAGTAAACAATGCTTCGAAGAAAAACACGGAAAAAATGGGCCGAACTAATTCATTCTTTAAAGAATTGAGACAAAATTGTGATGGTTTGCGAAGTGAATGGCTTTGGAGTTTACAGAGGTGCGAAGCTCCTGCCATTCATGATGTCATGAATCGCCCGCGACGCCGATATGAAGCTTAAAGCGGAGTAATACCTGTACAATTATATTATATAAACGCATAATATAATATTATAGCAATTCCAGCGTTTATTAGGCCGTAGGCCTGTCGCCGTTTCTTAACATCGCAGAACATCCACAGCTTGTTGCGGTCTCGAACTCGCAACTCACTGCTCCAATTCTGCTTTGCTTAACCGCCCGGCCTCCTTGCCGATGCTGACCAGAAACTGGCGCACAGAGCTGGGATCGAACCCGCGCCTCTCTGCGCCAATCCTGGTACTCTGAACCTGAACCACTGGACCAAAGCTCAACCTAATAATTCCATCCATATTGCAAACAATTAATGCCCATGTTCGGCTCACTTGACGCCGAAGAAAGGCAGGGTCCTGAGCCTGCCGCTCATGACGGGGTTGAGGAGGCCGTTAGCCCCGGCCCTGGAGCAGCCGTAGAAGGCGTTGCCGGTGCACCTCTCGTTCCTGCCGTGGGCGCCCCACATGTCCCAGGTCCCCGTCGTCAGGAACGCTTCTCCTCGCCAGTCAGCAACAAGTTGCTGAGGATTAGCAAATATATACATATAGCTTCAGATAGAAAATATACATGGATAATGATAAGTCTATGATCCATGGATACATGGATATTCATACATCTCTATAATCCTAGGATAATCAGTCAGCAAACGTTTCAAATTATTCATGTATGAAACAAAAAAAAATATGTATACATCGTTTGTTTTCTTACCCTCATCAATGTGCAATCATTTGATTACTTTTTTAGCATGTGTATTGAAAAATTAATAGAATTCAATTGACCAATTTCGCCAGCGCAGTATTTAAGTAACCCTCATTCGTGAGCATAAATAAGGCAGGATTAATTGCTTATAACAAACATCGATTTGCTAGTTAAATAATTTATCTCTGTGATATGGAATTTTCTGAGAACATTTTTTTGCGATCAAATTTTCCAATGTCAGATAACAATAATAAAAAAGTTCTGTTAAATACCACCAAAATGGAGGCAAACTATTAGACGTACAGGCTTGATGAAGAGCGTGCTGTCGTGCGTGTAGGTGACGCTGCGGTTGTTCACATACGCTTGAAATTCCCAGTTCTGTAATAAAATCATTACATATAAAACCCTGGAAAGCGTAAGTATTGACTTGACCTCTACATGCAACGGTCGGTCTCTTTTTCCTAATAACTCCTCAAAATTGTGGTAAAAAGATTCAAGATTCGACACTTCAACCAATATTACAAGCTCATGAATTAAATTTAATATCACACTGTTAGAAAAATCATCGTTAAACGGTCTCACCGGCGTTCTAGTAGCCGGCCGACTCGTGAAAAGAAATACCGAATAACCGTTTTTATTCAACTTCAACACTAGAAATCCGTACAACATCTGAAAAAAGGATAAACTGTTCATTTTCAAGTGGCTGCCTGCCACTCAAACGCCGGTGAGACCGTTTCTTTTACTATTTTTTACCTTTTTAGCGCATGTTCTTATTTATGGAAAAAAGCGCTATTGTGCTCGTCATGTCCATCCTTCTGTCTGTTAGTCTGTCCATCCGTGACCTCAAGTTTTCGTCGACGAGAAAATGCGCTCTCTGTCACTCACTGCAGTGAGTACTGAGTTACATATATTTATCTAACAGTACACTATAGCTTTTAAATGTATCTTGTTGCAACTCACGCCTCCACCGCCCAATGTTATCTCGTGCTCCCAGGCGCTGAAGTCCAAGAAGTCGAACTCGTCGTTGAAGATCTGGCAGGGGAAGGCCGTGCACGNTACCCTTATAGTTTAGAAAAATTGTCTGGCGCCCAGCCAAAATTGATAATATAACCTTATACTTACGAATAAATTGTCTGTCGGCAAGAAAAATTTATAATTTAACCTTATACTTACGAATAACTCTTCTGGCGCCCAGCGAAAATTTATAATTTGACCTTATACTTTCTAATTCGTTGTCTGGCTCCAAGGGAAATTTAACGATTTAACCTCATACTTTCGAATGAGTTGTCAGGCGCCGAACAAATATTAATCATATAACCTTATACTTTTTATTACGATGTCTAGCGGTGAACGAAAATTAATCATTTAATTTTATACTTTCTTATACGTTGTCCAGAGTTTTTCAATTATTTCATGTTCTTAATAATAGTTTAATAATAATTAAAAGCTTAATAGTACCTGCAGTTTGAGTGACTGTCACGGTGACAGCGAGAACCAAAAGCAGCTTCATGATGGCGGCTGTCGGGGAAATTAATTAATTAGAAAGCATCTTAAAAAATGTATATTGTCTTGCAGAAATAACATGACAGACGCTTCTCACCTCCCAACTAATTTCTAACATTTATCTAACAAAACACCCAAAATTCCCAAAATTCGCTGTTTTAGGAGAAACATCCATTGATAAAGCTTTATAAACTGAACACATATCATATTATTCTATTTTCACAGCCAATAATTTTGATATTTAATCAATTATTGCCTCGTGTGTGGCAAGACAGTTACATTGTTAGCCGCATGAACCTCGCATAAATCAGCATAAAATCATCCTATCTTTTCTGTTATCTAAGGCATCGCTCGCTCTACTTGTACTCTGCTGAAACGCGTTCACATTGCTACGTAATTTGTCCGCTACTTGACCAAAATTGATCACAACTCAGCACGGCTCAACATGAACATGAAAGTCATAGTTGATTGTACTTCCAAACGACACAGTATATTTATGCCTTAAACGAGATAATTAAACATGTATTATAGCTTAAAACAATGCCTGCAAGACAAGTCTGCAGAACAATGTGAAGGATGCAAGTCAAATGAAATTAATGTCCCCTCTAGCGAAATGCTTGATGCTGGACTGTCGCCAAATAGAAAATAGATTCACCACATGAAAAAAATTAGTTCACCAATGGATTCTTACTTAGCACATGTGTTACGAAGTGACACTGCAGTTAACAGGGGAGCTGCAATCTACACACTAGCATTGTTGAGCTGCGAGAAAACCACAATATGAGCGTATAACAAAAGACTTCCCTTCTGCCTAGACTGTATCAACCTGTTCATTCAAATGTTGTTTCAACTCCAGAGTTATATGCAGTTAAAGATGTTGGCATTCGTATTCTATTTAAACATCTTTACGTTAAATTTCCTCGTGGAATTGGGCTGCGACATGAGACACATGCACCTGCCCTGTCTACTTACTTGTGTCGCACAAAATTTTGGATTTTGGATTTTGGATTTGTCAGGATTTTGGATCCAAATTTTGGATTTGGATCCGTACCCTGAAGTGGTTAGATTCAGGGAATTCAGGGAAGTGGTTAGATTCAAGGACTGATTAGATTCAGGGAACTGATTAGATTCTGGGAACTGATTAAATTCAGGGAACTGATTAGATTCAGGCAACTGATTAGATTCAGGGAACTGATTGGATTCAGGGAACTGATTGGATTCAGGGACTGATTAGATTCTGGGAACTGATTAAATTCAGGGAACTGATTAGATTCAGGGAACTGATTAGATTCAGGGACTGATTAGATTCAGGGACTGATTAGATTCATGGACTGATTAGATTCAGGCAACAGCTGGGGCCTCGATTAACTTCTGTGTAATGATCCCTCATTGAAGTGTTGAACGCGTTAGAAACTAAAACGATTCGTTACAATCAATTTTATATGGATAACTTCGAGTTAAATCCTATTTCATATGTAATATCAGCACTGCAAATTCGATATAAAATATATTCTTTCGTTTATTATTGTTAACGATGAAAATGTTTTAATTTGCGAATAAATTTACTCGGACAGATGTAGCTCGGCATTTGTGTTCAAGTCTTGATTCAAACCTCTAATTAATGTCGAAAGAAGAGAATGATAATAAAGTAAGTTTAATTTCAGTCCTTCTTTTAGGTGTGAAACTATAATAAATAGAAAGATTTTCTTCAGTCTCAATTCCAAAGTAAAGGAGATATAATAAGTAACTGAAATTAAGATAACAATAAAAATAGAAGGGTTATGGAGCGTCCAATAATTTGTACATGATAACTAAGAAATAATTAATTATTAATTTATGCCCTCGTCATAATCTAAAGCGATTATAAAGTCGGAAAGGAGATTCTGACCAGAAACTGATTTCGAACGGGAGGCAAATAAGACCCTGGGCCCATAGTTTCAAAAAAAGTTAAGAGACCGTAAGTTCATCAGCCAATCATTTACGGCCTTTCAAGCAAAATCCACCAATCATAGAAAAGAAAATAGAGCGTAAGTACTTACGTTCACTTAATCATAGACAAGAAAATAGAGCGTAAGTACTTACGTTCACTTAATCATAGACAAGAAAATANTTGTCTATGATTGGTGGATTTTGCTTGAAAGGCCGTCAATGATTGGCTGATGAACTTACGATCTCTTAACTTTTTTTTGAAAGTATGGGCCCAGGATAACTCTGCGCCGAGTGTAGCGACTATACGGCCGACGCCTGGGCGGTCCCCAAATTTTGTTAGTGTAGCTATGAAACTAGCGCTCTGCTTGAGTGCTGTAATCGCTGCACCAAAAACTCAGCTTGCTGACCAAATTGTGAAATTTCGTCCCTTAAGATAAAAAGTAATTGTTAGATAAAAATTAAGATAATAACCAATAAATATTCGAAGATATTTTATTATCACAGAATATAATGTTATTTTAATAACTTTTATCTTAAAGGAATAAATTTCATAATTTGATCAGCAAGCTGACGTTTGTGTGCGCATTTCTCACGACAACGTGGCTTTTAATAAAACTTTTATATTTTTAGGTTCGCTGTAGCCATTCTAATAAGTTTCACTTGGTGTTTTTCAATATAATTTTAATGGAAGTTTAGCAAACTATGAAAAAACGATCACCACCTCACGAGAGTATAGCGCTGAGAGAAAGCAGCGTTCATTTGTGGACAGATCACCACCACGATCACCACCACGACAATAACGTTATCCCATTACAAAGCAACCAACAGGATAATGCAATAATACCAACAGTCACCAGCATCTGTACAATAACAACGCCCACGGTCACCAGCATCTGTACAATAACAACGCTCACGGTCACCAGCATCTGTACAATAACAACGCCCGCGGTCACCAGCATCTGTACAATAACAACGCCCGCGGTCACCATCATCGTCAGAACAATAACAGCAGTAACGATGTAACGACTATAACAATCTGTGCTCTGACCACGATCCTTCTGGCATTAGTCGCGCATGCCTCGTCTTGCTGAGCGTCTAAACGCGCAGAACTATTCCTTCATTTTTTTTCTAGGGAGCAAATCACCGGTCCTGCGCTGCGCCCACGCGGCGGTGCTGCCGTCCTGCGCTGCGCCCACGCGGCGGTGCTGCCGTCCTGCGCTGCGCCCACGCGGCGGTGCTGCCGTCCTGCGCTGCGCCCACGCGGCGGTGCTGCCGTCCTGCGCTGCGCCCACGCGGCGGTGCTGCCGTCCTGCGCTGCGCCCACGCGGCGGTGCTGCCGATTATTTGCGACTCGTGGCCGTCATTTCGGACAGGCCGAGATGGCCCGTATTTCGTTTTGCATATAAAAATTCCAGTTTGTGTCATAATAATAATAAGAATAATAGCGATTACAGCGTTTATTAGGCCGTAGGCCTGTTGCCGGTTCTTAACTTAGCAGAACATTCGCACATTTTGCGGTCTCGAACTAACTACTCCAATACTGCTGAGCTTAATTAACCGCCCGGCCTCCTTGCCGATTCTGACCAGAAACTGGCGCACAGAGCTGCGATCGAACCCACGCCTCTCTGCGCCAATCTTGGTACTCTGAACTTTAACCACTGGGCCACTCTGCCTTAATGGTTAGTGACCACCCTGCCCTTAATGATTAGTGGCCACCCTGCCCTTAATGGTTAGTGGCCACCCTGCCCTTAATGGTTAGTGGCCACCCTGCCCTTAATGGTTAGCGGCCACCCTGCCCACCCGCATAAAAGGAAGACTATTTTAAACATGTCATTGAACGGCGAACAACGCAAGCACATCAAATTTCACCTCTTCAAGATTTGACTTAGTTATGTTTTATCCATTAATATTATTCCTGTCACGCAATATACACGTAAAATAATTAGAAATTAGCTTACGTCAGAATCTTACATTAGATTACGATAAAATTTATGACATGTGACAGTAAATAATATGTATTTTAATATGTATGTAAATAATATGTATTATCCGATATTATCTCCAATATGTATTGGAGATAATATCGGATATCAGAGAACACATTTTCATTGGAGTAGACGAGAATGTAAAAGAATAATTTCGCAATATTAAAGCAAAAATTCATGCAAATCCCGCCATGAAACCTGTTTTCATGGACGTATTCACTCTTGGTCCCAAATCTCAACTGTGACATCATGTCCGCCATCTTACATTGAGACATGCTCATATTTAACACAATGCGCTAAAAATCACCAGACTCTAATGAATCTAGTTTACATTGTTCTTATAATAAAATTGAGTTGACGTATTCCGTCATTAATAAAAGTCACGGATGGACAGACAGACAGACAGACGAACAGACAGACGGACAGACGGACAGACAGACAGACAGGCGGACATGACGAGCGCAATATCACCTTTTTTCCATCAATGACACAATGCGCTAAAAATCACCAGACTCTAATGAATCTAGTTTACATTGTTCTTATAATAAAATTGAGTTGACGTATTCCGTCATTAATAAAAGTCCTATAGCTTTGGCGCTGCATCGATAACGTTTAGTATCACATACATCTGGACACTAGCTGTAAAAACTGCAAGCGAAAACAGCTTCCAGCTTCCTTTGTTTATCTTCTCTTCTGATAAAGAAGAGGTCATTGGTGTAACTGTACAAATCACAATCGTTTTGTGTTATACAGATTATTCGAGCGTGCTATTTTGCTATTATATATTCACCTGCTCTAGTTAGCTATTTCAAGCGCTATTAATTTTGTGGGATTGAATTTAAAACGCAGGGTTA